CATTTTCGCTAAGTAAGGCTCAATCTGGATTTTTTTTCATGATTTACTCCTTCCTCTACTACTCAGTACATACCCTTTCCAGAACGGACTATCGCGTCGAATGCTGGAGACCGATCAAGGCGGACGATCCAATCAGTGAACTGCGTGAATTCTTCATTGGTCAAGCGATCGATATTGATTTCTTCAATCTTAAAGAGGTGCTTCTTTGAAACCCTCGTGTGCCAGTCAATATGATAGACTGCAGTAGTGATTCGACTTTAGTAGTGATTTCGGCCTAGGCTAGACAGGGTGCAGCATCGTGATGTGTGAAATGGTGGTGTCAGTACGACTCCCCCCCCACCCTCGAAGGAGTGTCGTCAGTACGATCCCCCAACTAGAAGAGGATCTCGGTACGACCCCCCCTCCTCCCTTCTCCAACACCTTACCTACCAATTTCCCACATTTTCCAGTTTTTCACCCAAGGATTTTCCGTCGAGCGAGGGGGGGTATACAGCCCGTACCAAGTTCTTACATTTTCCCCAACTTCCTACCACTTTTTTCAGAATTTTCCGAACATTTTCCTAGTCCTACTCTCCCAACAACGACCAAATACGACCCCCTCCCCAGCGGAGGGGTACGGCCTCCTATGTCGTTTCACGCAAGCGATGCTGTACCCTGAGGCTAAATAAGTAGATTTATATATCTGGGCCATGACGTCACCCGAGCCGTCAAGACGGCCCGGCTGCTGATGGTTTCCTACAAGGGAGAAACCCAAATCTTTCAAAGATTTTTTGAAAAGGTTGACGAGTTCTCCTCCGGAAAAGAGTAAAGGAGTTAGATTGTACAGAGACTCTATTTCGGGTGTGGGTGGGGTTGTAGTATCGCACTGGAAAAGTCGACACCTCACCCTCATGGTGTTGATCGAGCATTTTACCATGAGAAGGCTCACGATTTGGCACAAGACAAGGGTCGTAACTAGGGTAAACCATGCAGATGAGTCGAGTCAGGATACCACAGAATATCCTGTCCCAGTACGAACCCCCCCCGCAATCTCCTCTTATTGTACTCCTTTCCCATCCTACCCTCAATCTTGCCAAAGTCTTTCAACTTCCTACTCGTTTTCCGGAAATTCGCAGTTTTTCTCAGATACCTGGGGCCGAGCGAGCGAAAGCAAGAAGGTTCTCTCCAACTGGCCATCAGATTCAGCTATGAAAAGTAGTGGTCATGTCGGAACTTTACGGCGCCGTCAGTCCGGGGGAGGGGGGGCGCAGGTGGAGAGGGGGGGGTGCGGCTGATGAATGGAAAATTCAACAGCCGAAAATTCCTTGGGGCGTCCACCTATTCATCGACCAAGTACGACCCCCACCACATCTCCCCAAATGGGATTCTTTGAACGATGTTGTACCCAGCTAAGGCTAAGTTGTTCTCAACCTTTTGCCTTTTTCTGCGACATACTATACCTTTCGAAATGAAAGACCTAGTTGAAAAGTTCATTTTCAGGACGGAGTGATATCAAGATCCGGATTGAGTACCCAGTCGTCGGGAACTCTGCATGTGTCGGTGACCAATGTGCTACAAAGGCGAGACTACATCGCCAAGGAAACATTGAATCACATGAAATACGGCGCAATGTTCGATCGTATGGGGTGAGCAATCATTATTGGATAATACTTTGAGGCGTAGTTCGCGTCGGTTCGTGGGGCGCGGAAGTTGGGCCTACCATCGTGGCTTGTTCATTAGCGCGACCTCTACTCGTAAGACGTAAAGGGAAGAGGTGCCAATGAGGAAGATGTAAGGGCTTGGTCCAGCCCACAGGGCCAGCATACACTACTCCTTCAACCGTTCAGTTCACTGATCGATTAACGACCGTGACTTCCATTGATTATTATTGATCGTTTTGAAGAACATCTTCTCTCGTTGGTTTTTCAGGATGAGATCTGACCTTTACTGGCGTATAATGAAAGTACTGATGGAGTTTGAAGAGGCCAAAAGACAACTTCTTCAACTGCGTGCTGCCCAGTAAAAGCTCCAAGAACCAAATTCTATTGCTCAGTGATATTCGCCTATGTATTCCTTATGTATTAGGTTGGCAAAAAAAGTATTTTCCTACTTTTTTTAATTGCTATTCAGTATAGAAGGATGCCAGGCATTTAAATGTACCTGAGAGTATTCTAGAACATTGCCGGAGCTTCGCCCCTATGGGGTATATAGCCGTTCTACTTTAATCAAGGGTTAACCATGGATGAAATCGCCAACACCAATATTCGAACAATATTTTTCTACTAGTGGCGCCATAATAAAGCAGCCGCTGTAGCCCGAAAGGTCAACGACGCATTCGGTGAAGGAACGACTACCGATCGTACCGTACGCAATTGGTATAAACGCTTCGAGGATGGAGAGACGGACATGGAAGATCGACCTCGTAGTGGACGTCCTTCAGTGCTCGAAGATTCGGCATTGCTCGCTGACATTAAAGAAGAGCCATATACCACCGTATGATTTAGCAACCAGGTTCGGGTGCACGCATACGACGGTTAAAAACCGCCTTCACGCTCTTGTCTTGGATGCGAAAATGTTTTGACGAAATGGATACCTCATCAGTTGACCGACGGCATGAGGATGGCCCGCCTGACTATCGTTCAATCTCTTCTCTTCCAGCCGCATCGCAAGGAGTTTCTTGAGGGCCTGATTACTGAAGATGAGAGTTGGATCTCTACGATGCCAACACCCGTGCTGTTTGGCTTCTGTGCGGTGAAGAATTGTCCACGCAGCCGAAGTGCGACCTCCGCCCAAAGAACGTTATGCGTGCGTCTAGGATTCCACAGGAATGCCTACCACGAGTTGCTACCGCACGGCAGCAACTGGAGCTTCTGGAGCTGGTCAGCATACACGATATCACCGCTACCGTGTGTGCTGATCAGCTCCAGAAATTGGCGGATGCTGTGAAAGAAAAGCCCAAGAAGAGCTACCGTCCACCTTCTCCATGACAAAGCTCGGCCTCATGTCGCTCCGATGACTCGTGAAAAACTGATGGAGCTCGGATGGCATCCCGTTGCACATCCACCCTACTCTCCAGACCTTGCGCCGTCAGACTATCATTTGTTCAGACCGCTCGAAGCTCTTGTCTATCCCACACTCCAGAATTCTGGGAGAAGGGGATCGGTGATTTGCCTAATAAGTAGAGTAATGTTATTGCTAATGACTGTGATTATATTGTTGATTATTGTTAATGTTTATTAAAGAAAATCAGAGCTGAAAATTCGAAACTGAAAGCCATCCCTGAGAGTTTTAATGTCTGCGGCGAAACAATAGGGACGCTAGGGTAATCGGTTTTCATAGGTAGCATAAGCAGTTTGACATATGGATTGCAAGCTTAGTTGGATCGACGAAAATGCGAAATCCAAACATCAAAACAAACAGTATACAAAATCACCGAAGTTACATGTGTTAGCTGGTAAGCTGCACTTAAAGAAGCCATTTTGGCCAAGTCTACAGGTGGAACCGAGGGACAGAAACTCGGGTTGACGGTTAAACTCTTTTTGACAGCGACGGTGTACGCTCGCACCCGCCTGTACGACACCATTGTGTACACCGGCTTGGACGCCACGAACTGTGTGTATTCGCCGGGCCCAGGCCACCTCTGGCACAGCGTGATTGAGCATCAGTCGCAGTCATGCTACTGTGATACATGCAAGTTGTGCAGCGTAGAAAGGGAAAATCAGCCAAGTAGTGCCTGATAGAGTGTCCCGTGCTTGGAGCCGGCGGGACGGATTCGTGTGCGGGTCAAGAAGCATCTGGGGGATATATAGGTCGCGAGCCTATACCGCAACGGGCCGCAGCTTGAGCCCGCGCATCCGGTTCAAAGGCATCATGAAGGCACGAGCATGTCGATGTGTCGTTGACGCGGAATGGCATATTAAGCTTACGCGCGAGTCAGAGATACCAGCGAAGGGGATGGGGGGGGAACGGACGAAATACGCTCAGGCGTGCGCACACCGCAACCTCAGCCCCACGCGCGTAAGACATATTGGAGCGCATTCTGGATTACGGCAAAGGACCGCTCAGCATGAATCAGAAAGAGGAAATGATCGGCATACGCCTGAGCTGCGCGCGCGGCATTGCCTCACGTACGACATCTGTGCAAGTTTGAGTCTCCGGAGGTCGAGGATACAGGACGTGAATAGTCACTGGTTACCTCTCGATTAAATGTTCCTCCACGTGGTGGTCGATTCCCCGCACAGCGCGCACACTGAATGCCAGTGAAGCCTTATCACGTTACTATTTGAATGATATCATTGATGCTTACTAGTCAATCAGGGAACAGGATTGGCTTTCGAGATTGTTTGGCGAGCCTTGAAAGCGGCCAGAGCGCAGCGCCGGCCGCCTGCAAGTTACGCACTGCTTTTGTCGCTCTTCAGCTCAGACGAAGGCGAAGACCGCCGAAACGTAGAGCTAGTAGATAGAAGTCATCCAAATCGTTGGTACCAGGCTTAAGACGATAACCGAAAAGGACATGGCATTCTATAACATGAGTTTAACATTGCTTCCAAAGATAGTCATACAGGAAGCAAGCCTCCGCTCAGCACTGGGACTACCAGCGAGAGGTCGTATTTAAGTACAGTGGTAGGGAAGAGGGAGTTTTGAGAAAGTTGCTTTCGGTCGCTGTCGTTTCTTGGTTTTTTCCCCCGTTTCACTGGCGTTAAGTTGGGGAGAATTTAGCCTCGTCCGGAAATGTATACGGCGAGCGAAAATGGGACAATGCTGATTTCTACCCGGTGCAGTTTGAATTGGAGGGGGCATCTAATGGTGCCTTGCTAAGCTTGTACAAGGCCTTCTTGTGAACAACTGTAGATTCTGTAACCAAAGGGGCTCACTGTTACATTTTCGCAGCTTCATAAGAATTTACAGGTCTCATCGACGTGAGTTCCCTTAGTTAAAAACCGCAAAAGGAAGTAGCAAAAGTACTCCCGCTGTAAGCAATACAACATCTCTTTTTCTTTCGGGTGATTCCGAACAAATCAAGATTGCAGACGAGTGATTTGAATATGGAAGAAGGAAAGATTCAGGGTTCTGTAGAAGGGCCAATCTGGCAGGAAGAAGCTGCCGGAATCGCCGCTCCCTTCTGAAAATCAACTGGAAAAGGAGAGGCACTTTTCCCGCTGATGCTCAGCACAGGACGAGAAGCCAAAGGATTGAAAAAATAGAGAGACGACAGGCATGGTCCTCCAAGAAGCGCTGCTGCTGATTGGCGGCGATTGTGAAGGCAGTGACGTTTCCAGCGCCTTCAGCTTCACATTTCAAGTACGAATTGGATTGAGCTGGCGATGGAAGCTCGACAGCATCGGCTTGTGAAGGGCACTTCAGCTTGTTCTCTGCGGAAGCTGTTGCTTTTCAGACGGGCAGGCTTTGGCGCGGCGCCAGCCAGTTTTCCACCTTTCCTCACTTGAACTTACCTACCAGCTTTCAAAGTTGGTGAAGCGCAGGCTGGCGCCGCACCAAACCCAGCCCCCTGAAACGGCCCAGCGTTCGAAGGGACTAAGACCAGGCAAAGACGGAATGCCTTGCCAAGCCTTCACAGACATCCCTGACTTTCCGAGATTCGCAGAATTGGATTATAGTCGGCATTTCAGTACTCGTTAAATGATGTGTCTAACTTGCTTAGTATTCAAAGGCACGGTCCGCGATAAAAAGCCTAGGTGATGTTGCAGAAATGTGGAAGAAAATTCGCCAAGTGAACCGTCTATGAAGAGAAAATGCCAAAGGGAACGTTGGAAACGCATTCGTCGGCCTCCTCTAGCCTCAAACAACTATAGAGGTAAAAGACCGAAAAGACCGTGCGCTGGGACGATTCCCGTCGGCTGATTCCCAATCATGAACCCACAAGATACACTGAATGCATCCACTCCATGATACTTGCCCGGGAGCATTACTTTTGGCTGGAAGGCCGACTTTGGAGGCGGAGTCTGGAGGCGGAGTCACTGGAAAAAGGGATGTACCACTGAAGCAACTTTCCGCAGCGAAACTGGCACAGGGTTGCCCACTCCGGACCGCACTACCTTCCCACCTAACCTCTTGCATTTTCATAGCTCACCGCGGACCGTTCCTTTAACAGCCTCCAGCACACCACGTCATGAAACCTTCATCGGGCGCACTTCGGCGACGGCGGGGGGAGGGGGGGCAT